GCCAAAAACAGTAGGTTTTGCTATAAAAGGAATTAAAGGAGAACCATTAGATGCAGGAAATCAACAAAATAATAATTTTTTGACAATTCTGTTTTACGAATTTTACCTGGAGCTCCTGTACCACCAAAGTTATTTAAACGCCGTTATAATTTATTCAGATATTGAATTTTAAATAAAAATTATTCATGATTTATTAAAAATATTTAAAATTTTTTGTACAATTTATAGTTCAACAGAGTCTTCATTCAATGAAGAAAATGACAAAGTCGATGGCTCTAATACAATTACTTTACAATGGATAAGTGAAGGAAAAACTGTTGTGGCAACAGGATTAGCTGCAGAAAAAAAGAAAAGTCCTGACGGGATATGTCTGGATAGACGAGGGCATACTTCCTTTCCAAATATAATTGGAGAGCATTTACGTTTATATATATATATAAACGGATGTCATTTCCTTAACCAACTTGTATCATTTTGTTTGACGTAGTTCTCCAAGTCACCGTTATTTAAGCGTAGAGTGCGCTAAAAACCCAGTGATATTTTTCTTGGTCGGTATTTCAGACCCTAAGACACGAAATGTCTTTAAAATGTCCCCATTTAATGTCAGGTCGAGGTATATTCGCCTGTGCTAATAGGATATATAACTTGCCATGCTAGTTAGTCAATGATAGAATAGACCGGACATCCAATTCCAATTTCATTCGTTTTTTACGTTTTCACCTCTTACCATTTTCGTGTCATTTTGTCATATCGACTTAGGCAAATATTGCACTATAGCTCTATCGGCGATAGAAATTAGACTAAAAAAATATAGACAATGTTGCTGTTTCCTCATCGAAAACAGACGAGGTATATGATACCTCGAAAAACGATATTCAGACTGTACCTCGTCTGTAACACGAAGCCATATTTAATGTCAGAGCTATCCTATTCAATGGCATAATGATTTGATATAAAAATGCATTGGATGTCACATTTTACTTGTTTGCGTTATGTACCTCGCTTATCTAATCTATAAACATTACTCTTGAAGGAAATCAAATATCATGTTATATGTATCATTATTTAATATATTCTGAATCACTAATTTTAGAATTGTATACTGCTACAATTGTATTACTGCTTTTAAAGTAAGATTATAACAATTTATTCTGTATAAATGTGGATAAAATGATTTTTTTTTGTATTTTATATATAAAATAAATGATAATTTTATAAGCATCCATATTCCAAAATTTCTTAAAATAGGATGAAAATAGAGTAAATAAATAAAAAAAATAGATAAACTTATGAACATAAATCCTTTTCAAGTATAAAAAACAATTGCATCATTTAATAACGATTGAGTAAGAAAAATGAATCATGTTCAAAGGACACACCTTCAATATTAACTTGTGTTTAAACGGTTTTATCTTCATTACATGCAACTCAAAGAAACATTATTTTTAAATCGTACGTAATTCCATTCATTATTATTGAAAGAAACACATGATTCCATTAAATCATATGAAAACTTCTATATCGTACAAATAAAAATTGATCATATTACTACTATAGAAATAAAAAACAAACCAAAATAGCGAAATTTATCACGTTCAAAACTAAATCATATCAAATCATATCAAAAATATTCTATCATTTCCCAGGAAAGCTTAAATTTCATGGTCTGGTTTAGAAATATCCACTTTTATTCAACTATATTAAACACAATCTCACATTATATCTCCCAAAAGAATAACGTTATTACGATATTGTTTCTCACGAACTAAAATTTCAACGTAACACAGAGACTGCTCTCTGTAATCTCTAGAATCATCAGAGGGAAACGAAAGATGAAATTGCATTTTGTCACAATGCGCTCGGTGAAAGAATGAAGTCAAGGTAACGAAAGAACGGACAGGAAAAAGTTAGCGAGAAAAATATTATAGAAAAAATAATATTATAGAGAAAGGATGAAACTAAGGCTAAAGAAATTGTCAACGATTCATTTTCTCGTACGATGTTTCTTTCTTTTGCTCTTGGATAATATCTATTAGTGAGTGTGACGCAGTATGTACGCTTTTATAGTTCGCTATTATGAATTCTCTCAAGTATGTGAATTTCACGATGCTTTGGACATGAGAATGGTAGTGTATGACGCTATAGACGTAATCAGCGACATGATGTCATTCAGGAGGCGTAAGAATCAATCTAAGAGTTAGTGAAAAGTGCGGTTTGAAGATACAAAAGATTACGAATGCATATACGCATTAATCGATGCGATGATAGTAGATTTGTAATGCTGTTGACAGTTCTGCGTCATCTTTTTCGGGAAAAATTTATAGGGAACTTTGTGAAAATGACAAACAATAAAAAATTACAAAATAATCTTAGATAGATAAATTTAATAGATGATTGAAATTTTAGCTTGAAATTTTTGCAAAGAGAATTATTTTTATTGACATTGAAATTAAATATTTTTATGTATTTTTAAAACCTAAACATATAGAAGAATTAACTTTAGATAACAACAATTAGTATTTTATTGTGCTTTAAAATTTGGAAAGATAATTTTAATAAAAGAATTATTGAAGATGACAAAATTAATAATGTATGTGAAACACACGAAATAATTGTTGATAATATTATTGACGTAAATGACACATATGGTGAAGAATGAATTGATATGATATACTGGCGAAGAATGAGTCAGAGTTTAATATAACGTTTAGAAGGATTTAAAAGTATATTTTGCTGAATAAATTGTGAAATATACGACATTAAATACATTAAGTACATTAAATATATTATATGGTATTAATTCAATAAGGTGTAGTAAGTGGATATTAAAAAGTATCTAATAAGACTAAGTAAAGCTCGATATATATATATATATATATATATATTCTCTTTCATGAAAACCAACGTCTGACCATTAACTTAAATGAATGTGATCTCGTTTCCAGTGTTTCTCAATCTTTTCAACCTAGTCCTCAACTTAGCTCAATATTATATCAAATACATAAAATATATATAAACAAATAATATAAGAAAACAAATATATTTAAATTAATAAATATAAATGCTCAATCTATCATATTTAATCAGCATTTATTTTCATCGAATAATCTCTCATTAGCAGATATTAAATATATAATACAATTTATTAAATTTAGAGCTTGAAATAGTCAATACTGATAATATCCATGTCATAAAATTGAATTAACAAAAATTGAATTGATAATTTAAAACAGAGGTAGATGCCTTCAACATTAATTTTTAAAATATAAAATATATATATTTTCAAATATAATATGGATTAAGGAAATTTCGATCCTTTGATAAGAACTCTATTTTTATACAATTACTGTCTTTAAAAAAAAAAAAAAGAAAAAAGGAAAGAATGAAAGAGAGATTGGGAGACGCTATACTATTAGTATTACTACTACTACTATTATTACTACTACTACTACAGAGAGTAGTAAACTCGAGGCTAAAATGCAATGAAAAGAGATGTAAAGAGATGCATGTGAAGAGATTGCGTAAATGTAGCCGTGTTTCAATGTGGTAGTAAAAATTGGACCTCAACGTTGCTCCTTCACGATCAGTCTTCAGCACCTAGTCTTTGCCGAACTCTCGCCTAGTGATCATCTACGTCCGATTAAATCGAATTTTTGAAATACAATTTCGAGTAAGTTTACCTTCAACGAAGCGTAACAAAGTAGATCAAGTTCAGTTTTACATACGACATTTTCAATAATAAATAGTGAATTCTCGATTAACGAAATTAAGATAAATAATTAAGAAAAATGTCATTTAGTATAATAAAAATTGTGACGGAATACGAGTAAATATGATAGTTAAACTTAACGTGACGTTAATGTGATTTTATTATAATTTTCTGTAATATTTATTACATGAATATAAATTAAATTAATTGATTACGACTGTGCGTGAAAAAAAATTCTGACAAAAAGTTGGTAGAGGACTGACACTGTGATAAGTGTTAGAAGCAAAACAACATTAATAATTCATTACGATAAAGTAGAATAATAATTAAAGTTAATTGATGTTTATTTTTACTGTTGTCTGATAAGTGAGAATTCTTTTTGTTGAATAATGTAAACTTGGCTCACTCTTGAACTTTTTACACATCTGTTGAACTTTTATATGTCTTTTATACATCTTTTGATCTGATTATACGTTCTTATTGAGGATAATTATGTACTTGTTTTATAAGTTTTACAAATTACAATTAATATCATTTTTTTCGATTTATGACGTACATTTAAGGCTCTTTTACCTAATGAATTTGAATGAAAACTTCTTTTGTTTTAAACATTTCAAAGAAGTTTGTATGTAGTTTAAAAATGTTTAAAGTAATGAACAGTTTTAAAAAATTTTTGTTTGAAATATTTTAAAATCAAGTTGAACATGTTCAAACTACACTGCTTATATTTTGTATGCATATTTAGTTCTTTTATTTTAGATAAAATAGCAGATATTTATGTACGAAATATACGAATAAAACAAATTTTTAAGTTAAAAAAATTCCCAAGTTCGTAAGATCAAATTTTATCGGTGTTCGGATAAATCAAACTTATTTTAATACGTCGATGACAATTACATTATCAAACAGCGGGTAATAAACTTGCTGTAAATTCCACTGAAACTGATTCACATTCGTATGTAAATTATTCTTAATTGTAACTACGTTTTCTCTTTTAAAGCCGGCCAAAGAACACAGATAATTCTAGATCATTTTGAATACATATTTTTGAAAGACGTTTATGAAATTTAATTGCAAAACGGTAAACATTAAATTGAAATAGAGAAAGAAATGAATTATGGGGAACAAATTGCAAAAAAAAAAAAAAGAATATCGAAAGTGTCAAGGTTTTCAGTGACTGTGCACAAGTGAAAGTAAAACTTTCTTTTCGGTACTGAATCTTCCAATCTTCACAATGCATATCCGTTTCCTATTTATTTCATTTGCAGAAAAAATCCTGCAAACTAAATTTTTGAAAGTATTTTTATGTATTTCTGTTTTCTTTAATATATTTTTATTTTCTTTGTTATATGAAGTTACTAGGAATAGCATTTAAAATTTTCGATAAACTGAGATTTCTTTCAAACTTCGTGTCACACGATGTAAATATATTCTCGAAAATATCAATCAAATTCGAGTTAAACTTTTATATTTATACCTTCTGGAAATATAAGTTATTTGTAAAAATGTAGAATATCATTTAAAAGGTGTTCAAAAGGAAAATGGTGCAAATATTCTTTTAACTTTTTATTTTAAGAAAAGAAAATCTGTTTATTAAATCGTGTTCTCAATCAGCAATATTTTTTAAAATTCGTTACTATTCAAATATTTGCTAAGTTATACATCCGAAACAAATACTACTTCAAGATTCTCATTGAAAACGTTTATACTTGCAAAATTTATAAATTCGTAAGACTATTATATACGTTATTTTCGTAATATGATTTGTTTAATAATAGTATAAACATTCAAATTAGGTGTTGGTATGTCAGCCTTCTTTCTGTCCATTTTTGGAAGAATTTAGTTACCATAAATGGTTGTTCGTTTCACTGACCCAATTACGTAATAAATCATTTTGAAATGTATTTTTAGCGAAAGTTTAGTATTACAAACTTTTAATATTTTTTTAAAAAAAAGTCGTTCTAGTGATCACAATACTTTATGTTGGAGTACTTAATATTAGAATATATATTTCATTTTTTTCAGTATTTTATTTTTATTCAATATTTAAAATTATTTTAATCAAATATTTTATTATAACTACACGAGTTTCAGGTTAAAATAATGAAAAAATAATCGTAAAAAATCATCAGCTCTTAAAGTGATGAAGTAACATTCAAGTGTTGTTTGTTAAAATGCCTAAAGTGCTAATAATATACCTTGTATGCAGGAAACTAAGCAAACGAAGTATAAATTATTTAACTTTCGCATTTGGTATTCAATTTGCATGAATAGAATTATAAAACGAGTGAAGATAATGAACAATTGTATTGTTCGTTATTCGTAACTTGCATTTTATTAAATAATATTAGGATCAATATGTATCATACAGATTTGTACTCTGAAATAATAAAGCTATATATGAGCCAAAGCTATTTACAGACCAAAGCTATTAATTTCAGTTTTTAATTTTTTAAAATTCGAAAAAAAAATTTGTTTGATGGCTAAATTTTTATATTTACAATTAATAGCACTAAATGACAAATATTATTTTGTCCAGGAAATAATAAATAGCTTATTTTCAGAATTACTAATAATTATTCTAGGAATGTACAATTTTATATATCATATTGTACAATATTTATTTGAGTTTTATCTATTTTATTTTGAGTCTAAAAGGAATTAAAAAAAAATTTTATGCAGTTTATCAATTTAGCAAATGAGCAGCTCATATATGATTCACAAGATGAATGATTTTGATACCCGTGAATAAGCATCTTGTCATGAGAGATATGAAACAAATGATTTTAATATTTAAGTATAGTTTATGATTTTATAAAGAGTACTAAATGTTTATTTATTTAGAATATTGAGATATTGCTGAGGTTATTAATTTTATTACAGGAAATATTATTTTAAATTGCTTTAATGGTATTTCTTTTGTTTATTTTATCTGGTCTGAAACTGATTTCGATAATTCGAGAATATTTGCAGATGATTGATCGAATTCATACAATAGAGATAATTCATTAGTTTGCTATCTAAAAAATTGTAATAATACGTTAACTTTAGTAAGTATATGATCACTGATTTATCATGGTTAATTCATTATTACTTTGGTTTATATTGTTATTTGGTTATATTGTTATTTGGTTATATTATATTTTAAAGTATAATACCACGAAAGTATAATAATTATTACTATAATTTTGTTTATATTATATATTAATTTAGAAACAATTTTTATGTTGTACAAAAAAGAAAGATTATATACCATCTTATAATTTAAGAAACTATATAGAGTTATTAAGATTTTTAAATAATCCTTTTCCTTTACAGATTCCGTTCCAAGATGGCATTCAATAAAGGTTCTATTCTTAAACTGTTAGAGTTGGTAAGTATAATAATTATTGCATCACTAAAATTTGCAAATATTCTATTCTATCTTATTATCATAATTAAGATTATATATATAATGTTATAACTTCACAAATATTTCAGAAAGAATAGAAATTAAATACATATTATCAATAATCCGAAATAATAATCGTGAAAGCCTAACGTAATAAGATTTTAAAAACTAAACTTTTTAGTATTTAAATGATTTTTTCTCAATCGTAAAAGAACTATTTTTCTATCTTCAGTGTATTTCTATCTCACTGATTCGTTTACATTTATAGTGAAGTTATTTTTAACTCTCTCCAGAAATAATTTTGAATAGTCTGTCACTTTTCACTTCCTATTTTTCTATATCTCTGATAAATCAAGAAACAAGAAACATTGAGATTTCCTGGAGATTTCTAGACATTTTTTTTTTTTTAGTCTGGCAGAATAGATAATAATATAATGGATAGTGATTGCTGTGCACGATATTTTCTTCTTCTTATGATCGCACTTCGAGCCGGAAGTTAGTCATCTAAATTCCTCAGGCACGCATGCTATGCATTGTTTAAATTTCCCTCATGATTTCGATAATAAAGTTCCTTTCACTTTACTTAAGTTCTATTCATAATCTCGAGTGTAATATATACATACTTTTGTATTTTTGATAAAAATCAAATAAAACTTTTTACTGTGTTTTCTATCTCCTTTCTGTGAATACGTTTATTCTTTTTTCTCAATAATTTAAACAATTAAAAGGATAACGATGATTCTCCAAATTTATATACCTTGTTGTAAATTATATGATATTGATAAATAGCTAATAAAGACATCAACTTCCAGAGGACAAAGATCAATGTCATCATTATATTGAAAAGAAAATAAAAAATTTCTTCTAAATGAAATAACATAAATTAAATGTATGACGTAATGTCATTATGCGATAAATTAACAATGCCACGCTTATCGTGGTGAATGAATAGGATTCATAACATGTCATCAATGTAACATTAACAATGACGGAAGAATACATTCTAAGTACATCGAATAATATCGATTGGATTTTCTGCTGAACATTTACATCTTCGTAATAGAATCAGCTTCTATTTAAAACGAGATACAGTACGATCGTTGAATCCTAATGGATTATTTATGGTGGTATTCATGAAGTTAGTGGACTTTTTATTAAACATTCTATACTATACTACATTTCTCTTTTATAGATATCCTTTAACATTGATTTCAAACAGCTCTGCTGCACATCGAACGAAATCAAAAATCTATTTTAATCTAACTTTTTATATTTTTCATTATTTGAAATATTTTTATATTAAATATTTCAAGAACACAAGTACTACGAGGATTTACAATTATTATAAAATAAACGCAAAACTTTACAGACATTCAGAATATTGTCTTAATAGAAATGGTACTTCAGACTACTCTAAAAACGTAAGAAGATTAAAAAATTGAACGATCCTCCATTAGTATTCTAAACAAATATTCTTGTTCCAAATTAAGGTTTCAACTATAGACAAGATGCTAGTAGCATTCTAATTAATATCTAATTATTCTATCATAATGCTGATTCATTGATTAGAAATATTTATTTGCTACAATTTTTAATTATATTAAGTATATAATTACTTAGAAGTAATATTATATAATTATTTACAAGTATTACTTATAATTACTTATATAATTTTTAATTATATTAAGTATATTAAGTATATAATTATATTTTTAATTATATTAAGTACATAATTTTTAATTTCCAATTGCCTAAATATATCTATACTCAGTGCTTTGATAAATCATATACCTTCTTTTTATTGTTTTTAGATAGTGGTATGCATTCTTATAGGTATGCATTATCACTCTTTCAGTGATAGTAGCATAAATAGTGCGATGATCACAATGGGTGCATACGGTGGATATTTAATTATTCTCGTGGGAATATTCTTTGGAATTATTATGGGATCTGGCATAGATCGTCGTATAGTAAGTAATATTTAATAAGTCTTACACTACAAAATATATAATACTTTAATATGTATTTATCCTATATTTTTTAAAACTTCGCTTCAAGTTTTTATTATATTAACGTGTTTATTTTCCAAGTTCCTCTACATTTTTTTGGAAGTATTAAAGACATGTAATTAAGTATAATCAGTCTTTCATATTCTGTTCGTATAAAATCAATGCGTTGCAATCATAGAAAATGGATTAATCTGTTAATCAGGGAAGAGATTGACTTATCATTTGGATTTCCAATTTTTTAAATATATTTAATTTACGAATTCCTTATAGCATATCATATTTGTATTTGAAAAATTTAAAGCCGAGTTGTCTGAAATTAATTTGTTTCATTTAATTCTAAACTTTTGTAGTTATAAAAATTTCTGTTTAAATAATGACCTGATTAACAGATTAATATATATGATACCAATAGCGTGACTATTTACATGCGTCAATTGTGGAAGGATACTTACAAGATTGTTAACTTGCAGGACATGTTCTACTCAGTGGTCGGTTGCATCTTATTCATCATCGCCGGTGCTCTGATCCTCGAGCACTTCGCGAATTCAGTTTACCGTGGTTCTTTCCGCGACACAGGATTGGCTAAAGGTAGCATCACCATCGTCGGAGGAATTTTATTCTTGATAGATGCAATACTTGTGTTCCGAGGAGAAGCCTAAAATACAGAATAAATTGATAAGCAATGTCAGGAACCACGCAATGGTCGATTCATTTTCTAGATTACAATTATACAATGATGAAAACTGAATAAAAATTTCTTCAAAATTGTAGGAACTGAATTGGCTTTCACGAAGAGGTTTTTACTCTGAGAAACTTAGACAAGACTGGTTTGTAAAAGAAATTTTGTGAATAGAGAATTATTCAATGATAAATAAGTACAAACAGAAGTAACAGTTGAAACAAAGATTTTTTTTACACAAAACAAAAATTTTTTTCTAAAGAAATAATTTTTATATTATAATTGAATAATTTGAGTGAATTTATAATTGAGTAATTTGGGTGAAAAACTCTTATATTTGTATAACATAAGAATTTTCAAACGTACTCGAATGCTTAACACCAAAAATTTTTAGTAAAAGATTAACGTAAGTACCGTATTACAAAATTTGAAGAAAATTGAAGTGAATGGTTAAAATAACTTATTAAATCTTCTTCAAATTTTGCAATATATTAATAATTATACCTCAACTTTGTAAAAATATTTATTTTTATAGAAATTCATAGAAGTTATAAAATTTTCGCTTGTAAAATTTTCGTTTGAATAATTTTACAATCCGCTATATTTGTTCAGGGAAAAAATTTTTTTCCTTAATATTTACTATTTGGCGAGAAAATATATATGTATAATATTCATTTATGTCTTTTTTTCAAATTCGAATGTAAAACGAAAGTATAGCAAAATATCTTTCTAGAATAAGTGGCAATCCTTCTCTAATGTAAATGTAAGTGAAAGTGCTGTAATCATGACTGTTACACATAAATTAAATCATGACCATGGCGCCATATTTATTGTAAGTTGGTTAAGAGTATTAGAATAATTCTTTTATTTTTATTGTTTCGTATTTTCGATTTTTCATACGTCTGTTTACTTATTTTAATTTATGAATTTATAAGGTTATAACCCAGAATATGTGAATCTTCAATAATCATAATCATTTAAAATAATGTATATGTAATTATATAAAATAATGTATATGTAATTATATAAATAAATCGTTTTTTTTAATTCTTTTTAAAATATTTATTGCTATGTATTAGATGAAATTCTTTTGAAATAAGTATAATTTTTTTCATTAATTGTTATTAATATTACGTAATATAGTTATGTTAAGTAGTATCAAAATAACTATTCGAAAAATTTAATAGTTAGAACGATACTCTTAAAACGTGTGTGTAGTAATCTTTTTATAACGAATGAAATATATTTAAATAGAAAGTTTTATACATAAAGATACAAGAAATAAAATATCTATGACCTGTATTTAAATAGACAATAAAAGAGAAAACTTACGTTAAATTGTAATTTTAATGTAACCGTCCAAGTTGCAGTTCGGTTTCGATATATTCGAGAGAGGCGGAGTCGATAAAATTTTTGAGTCGATATACGAGTCGGTAAGGTCGATCAACTGCAATAGTCGATCGTGCATAGTTGCGTGTGTGCAGATTGTACCGCCGCTTCGAGCAGTAGTTTTATTTACTAATTGGAGTGCCGATGTGCGGTAGGAAGCGTTAAATGTGCGTGGAAAATGTCGAATCCGGGCGGTAGCAGGAGGAACGGGGCCATGAAGATTCGTTTGACGAGTGAGTTTATTAAGAAATCACGATGAACCTGACGAAAGAGGAGCGTGAAAGTCGGTCCGATAGCCAACACGCGTTGTGATCCTTTCCTTGCCTTGATTTGTTATGTGTTCGTTGATACAGTCCTGTTGTAGTGCTTACGACGGTTCACTTTTGAATAACATCAAAACCATTCTTACGAATATCTCATATCGGTCGATTAATACGAAGAGAAAAATACGCAGAAAGGCTCGACTAGGGTTTTCATCCTTTGGTTATGGCAACTCCCTATCGGAGGTCAAGACCCCACCGTGAGCACTCCGGGAGACCATAGATGAAAGAGTTAATTTCGGTAGATTTTTTAAACTCGCATTGGTTCTCTCTCGATATGCATATTTTACAAAGCCTGATACGTTGCAAGCATTTTTCCATTTCGAAATCACTCCTTGTTGACTGATTCAATGGGGAATATTGCGGAGCTCATAATCGAATGTGAATAGGCCTAATTAACAAATGTCAGACGCTTAGTACCAAAGCATGAGTTTAATATTCGTTAAACGAATGTACGATTTAATATTTTGTCATTTTTAAAGTCGATTGTAAAT